TTTCAACCATCAAATGCCTGGATAAACAGGAATTGGGGGGGACGGACCTCCTGGTAGTCAATAATGAAAAGTGATGAGTGGTGGAAAGTTTCTAAATTCAATAAATAAATAAATGCAACAAATAAAACACAACACATACAAGTTAAGCCATGCTTCCCATTTCTGGTACAACTTATTTTTATCTGTGGGCAGCATCTGTGCCAAGATTTTGGGTGGCTTTTGGTCTGAGCCACTTAATGCATTAAGTTTTTATTCTTCCCAAAACACAGAGGAACACATGCTCCTGCTTCATTAGCTGGATTTGCCTTGCAGCAGAATCATAAAGCAGTGGAACCCAAAAGGGCAGTCAGCTCATCCCAGGAGAAGTTGCCAAGTGAGTGAAGCTAAAGTCATGCTTCTGCTATAGTCAAAATCATCTCATTCTGAACCAGACAGATTGATCCAATTCTGTCTTACCATATGAAATGCATACGCAAGGCATAGGACTCTGCATCTGACCAATCAAAATATTTGGTCACTGCAGTTCATAAAACATTGGTTTTGTTTCTTTTTAACAGATCAGTAAGGGCTATTGTCGTTTTTCTTCCCCCCTATATCTAATATACTTTGAGCAACCCTTGTACCTATCAATTGAAGTGACATACAAATGTTTAAATAATGGTGCTAGTTACAAAGAGGTAACCAAAGTACATAATCTATTATAATCAATTGCATTTATAGTAATTAATTATGAATTGCCAGGTTGGTTGGTAGTAGCACAAAGGTGAGACGTAGCCTCAGCCTTTACTCAGTCTTATAGGCACAGAAACAAATAAACATTCCTCGCAAATAGAGAAGCTTGTTCATTTACACACAGTTAGAACAGGTCTTCAAACATTTACTTTGCTTTGCCCACCAGCTTTGGCTGTCATCATAAATGAATGCATAATTGTTCACCTTAACACTGACCTCATTTACACATGATGCTAAACTATGATTTGACATTATGTGCAGAAATCTTAGTAAAATATTTGGCTCAAGAGCTTCCGCCTCATTTCTCCCATGCAGTTGGGAGGAGAAATAAAACATGATTCAGTGTTACTTCCTCCAGTTCCTGAATTGTTCTTATGTACTGTGAAGGAAATGGGTTATTCTGTTGCAGACTGTACTGTTACATAAAACTACCAATCTTGCATGTAGGTTGATCTGGGGGTTATGGAACACTCCTAAGCCTAACCCCTAAGTCTGGGGTTCAAACTGGAAGGTAGAAAACTGAGGTGGATGGCATGTAGCCCAGTGATGGCCAAACCTGGCCCTCCAGCTGTTTTGGGACTACAATTATCATCATCCCTGACTACTGGTCCTGTTAGCTAGGGATGATGGGAGTTGTAGTCCCAAAACAGCTGGAGGGCCAAGTTTGGCCATCACTGATGTAGCCTCTGATTTGGAGTTGAGATTTGACTGTCATAATTTCCATGAAATTGTGGATTGGGAGTCACAAGGTGACACAAGACAGAATAAAGTGAACAAAAAGGAAAAGGAAAATGAGAGAGAGACAAAAAGGAAATACCAACAGGTGGGGGGGAGTAGGAGGTGGTGAGAGAAAAAGAAAGGACAGACATAGTTAATAACAGAAAAAAAGGAGAAAGGAAAAGGTAAGGATGGAGCCAAGAGTGGAGTACAGTTTGAGGAGTACCGCAAGGCAATTCACAAGATACAGCTAAAATATTACAACTTGACAATATTAACTACATCCACATTTTGCTCAACACAGCAATGTTAAGGTCTATAGAAACATTTTCACCAACCTTAAATCACACACACACAATGGCATCTGGTTGGCCACTGTGAGAATGAAATGATGGACTAGATCAGTGCTTCTCAACCTGTGGGTCCCCAGATGTTGTTGTACTACAATTCCCATCATCCCTGAGATCTGGCCTTGCTAGCTAGGGATGATGGGAGTTGTAGTTCAACAACATCTGGGGACCCACAGGTTAAAAGGCTGGACTAGATGATCATTTGGCCAGACCCTGAAGGGCTCTTCTTATGCGGTTATCATTGCTCTAGTTCTGGTCTCATAGGTATCCCAATCAACACTGACTTTTGGATTTTGGCATACATAGGGAGACACTCAGCGGCAGATCCTGAGCCCCAGACATTCAGGCTTTTAAACAATGTATGGAGGACATCACAATGACTACCCCAGGTCAAAAGGGTGCCCTGCAGCAAAATATGGCTGACAAAATGAAAAATTTCTCTTCCCCTCCCGAGTACAATGCCCTTCAAGCTGCTGGCCTGCCATTTTATCAGATATTTGCTATTCATCCAAATCTTCTGTAAGAGAAAAAGGTCTTGGAACTGAAACTTTTTGAGAAGCTGCTGCTCCCTGGCAAAAATGAAGGCTAGTATTTGGTTTTCAGCCAATGGAAAAGGCTGAGCTCATTGTGGTCATTGCCAGCTATTAATATGCAACTTCTTAGCTTTGAAAAACTTTTCCTGTGAAATAATAAAAAAAAAAAATTAGAACGTCTGAAACACCACATTTCAACCACAAAGTGGGTGATGTTTCTTTGCCTAAACCACCTAAAGTGACATTTAAAGAAGTTGGGGAGTTCTTGCTGTGTAGTTATAAAAGCCTGATTCCTTATAGCCACTATTGTTGACACTTTGAGTCACTAAAATAAGGAACGGATTGGCAGAGCGGGGCAACGGGTGGGAGGATATGAAATGCATACTTAGCAATTAGGGCTTATTTGCCATAGCAAAAAATAACTCTGTTCCAAAACAGTGGGAAATTGTAGGGTTAATCTTGCTCTAGGAAAAAGTCTTACTATGCGACAACAGCAGTCCCTCCCCATGTTTTTAGATCTAGAACAAGAGGTACCTTCAACATAAAGAATAGGAAGCTGCCATTGGACTATCTAGTCCAGCCTTCTACAATGACTGACAATGACTCTCCAGGGTTTCTCCAGCCCTACCTGGGAATTGTCAGGAGGTCCTACACATGAGTAGGAGTCCAGCAGAGACACATGCCCGACTGGCATGTTCTCTCCCTTCTGGTCAGGCGTTTGGGAGATTCAAAAGCTTTCTCCAGCCCGAACATCACAGCGACTGATACCAAGAGGCATCAGCACACTTCAGGATCAACAGAGTATAGGCAGTCAGCGTTCAGACTCAGTAGCCCAGCAATTTGGCTAAACTATGTTTATTTACATATATACACTTGGAGCATCATAACTCAGCTCCTTCCTCTTCAGCATCAGACAGCAAAGAAAAAGAACAAAGGACAAAAATCCTACATCACAGAAGCACAGTAATAAAAACATCATCTCTCCGTCACTTCCCACAATGTGGAATGAAAACATACACCGTCATGTGATAAAACCAATCCCATGACTGCAACACGGGGAATGAATCCTAACAGGGATGTCAGAGATTAAACCTGGGACTTTCTGCATGAAAGTAGATGCTCCACCACTGAGCTACAAGCCCTAATGCACTTGGTTTAGTACTATGGTTACCACACCTCTCCACTGATTCTGATACACTATTTTGACCAGCAACCCACTTGGCAAACATATTCCAGCAGGAACATGGATATTAGTGAGACAATTAGGTAAGTAGTTATACTGAAGTACATGAAGACATTAAGGGCTTTAAAAAAAGAATAATTATTGAACTAAAACTTTAGTTTGAAAATGAATGGGGCAGGTAGAAGTGGTCTTAGATGACATGGTATATCAATCCGTAAACCTTCCCAAGGCTTATTTGCATTGAAGCACAGATTACACAATGATATATTTAGAAACTGGCAAGTGGCATGAACATTTCCAAACATTCAGTGGTTCCCAACATTAACAGCCCCAAAGTGCAAACTGTATGCCATGAAGGAATTTTAGCTGCAATATATGTTCAAGCAGGGATGAGGAACCTTTAGCCTTCCAGATTTGCTGAACTACAATTCCTACCATCTCTTGACTATTGACCATGCTCGCTGGAGCTGATGGGAGTTATGGAGTACAACACCTGGTAGGCCACAGGTTTCTCACTTGTGGTTAAAGGAAACAATTTGGGGTATTCCACATATTTCATTTCAGTAAAAGTAGGTGTGCCACTGAGTATTATCAACTAAATAGATGGTTAGGTAAAGGTAAAAGGACCCCTGACCATTAGGTCCAGTTGTGGACGACTCTGGGGTTGCGGCACTAATCTCACTTTACTGGCCGAGGGAGCCGGCATACAGCTTCTGGGTCATGTGGCCAGTATGACTAAGCTGCTTCTGGCGAACCAGAGCAGTGCACGGAAACGCCGTTTACCTTCCTACCAGAGTGGTACCTGTTTATCTACTTGCACTTTGACGTGCTTTCAAACTGCTAGGTTGGCAGGAGCAGGGCTAACGGGACTAACCATATGGTTACATGTCTATAAAAAGCCCACAAGGTTCAACAAGTATTTGAAGACAGATAAAGAAACCTCAGTGTTTTTTCTCTTCCTATAGTTCTCTAAAACTGACTCCCACTTTACCTGTCTTCCTGCCATCATCTAATTCCCATTCATGCCATCATATAGCCTTCATAGCTAAAAGTGTCAGATAACTAGGGTGACATGGGTTCAAATCAGGCTTCCTCTACCTCGGCCCTTCAGATTTTTTTGGCCTACAACTCCCATGATCCCTAGCTAGCAGGACCAGTGGTCAGGGATGATGGGAATTGTAGTCTCAAAACATCTGGAGGGCCAAGGTTAAGGGTTCAACTCAGCAACTCAGCCACAAGAAGCTCACCTGGATAACCCTGGACCAGTCTCCCTCAGCCTAAACTACCTTATATGGATGTTGTAAGGATAAAACAGGGAAGAACCTTGCATCCTTTTGGGGGGGGGGCTAACAATGAGAGAATGTGCATGAATGGGTCAACCGACATTGGAGATGAACTAGAAAGGATTGAACTTTGTCTCCAGATAATTCTTGTTACAACAACAGCCCCTGAACAGTGTCTAATTGTTTTAGGAAGCCTACTCACCATACGCAGTCATCGTACCAACATATGGTCCATCTACCACATTCCTATTCTCTTCCGCCAGTGCTTTTATGTATCTTTTGCTGAGGTCCAGTATTTGTTCACGAAGCACCGAACTGCTTTCGTGCTGAGTCTTCTGTTGGATTGTAAAATGCAGCAGCATCATTCCCCAAATGAAGCCAAAGGTCACCAGAAAAAAGCCAAGTTTCTGAGAGGACAACTTCCATGGAGTAAAAAATGCCATGGCTGTTCAACCAGCTCTGGAGTCAACTGGAAAAGGTTTGAAAAGTCCACGCCAATGTCTCAGTTCATAGTCCAGGCAGGTAAGAATCAAAATTCCGGTGCTATTCACTCTGGCTCCTTAGTCAACATATTGTTGCTATTCAACTCCATCCTGCTGCTGCAAGAGAAAAGGAAACATATGGTAATTTAGAGTAGCAAAAATACCCACCAAAACTCTTCAAAGCTGTTTTCGTGTTTATAATTCCCCATTGCCAGCCTTGGAAAGCAGGACAATGTGCTTTCTTGGTAAATTGTTATGAGTCAATATTTTATGACACAAGTGACCATAGAGTCCAAGATACATTTGGGAATGGATCAAGAAATGTGTCTTTAACAGATATGGTCCCTGGGCTGACCTTATCACCTGATGTCCTATAGTATATGTGCAAGACATTACATTTGGGACAGAAGAGCTGTTAGCATCCATCTGTCTCAAGATACAATGGAGTACGCTTCCAGGGGGTAAAATCAAACTGCTGTGTTAGCACCACCTAAGTGACCACCCTGGGGCACAAGCATGGGCAGTGTGTATGGAGGTGCTGGGCTGCCCAGACGACTAGATCCGCCTCTTGGCCTTGCCAATGTTGGTTTAAAGGAAAGCAGAGCAATACATTTGGCACCAGCTTGGCTGCAACATCCAACAGTCTTAGGGTTGCCACACTGGATTTGTGTAGAGTTTACGCCTTAGCATTTTGTTCTCCTGAATATATCCTGCAAAGCAGCAGAGGTTTAGGATCAGAGTTTTCCTTATCTGAGATGAGCTACCTTCCTAGGTTGCCCTTCAATTCCCTGTATAGCATGTGCAGAAACTGCCTTCTTGACCACTGGATCCACTACTGGTCTCTTCCACTCAATCCTCCAGAGCCTGTCTTTGCATGCAGGGGAAGTCCCTAACTCACTGAGTGTTTGAGACCCATCGGCTACCTTCACCTGGTTTAGCTGGCCTGGTTTGAAAGGTAAAAGTAAAAGGTAAAGGACCCCTGGATGGTTAACTCCATTCGAATCTGACTATGGGGTGTGGCACTCATCTCCACTTTCAGGCTGAGGGAGCTGGCAATTTGTCTGCAGACAGCTTTTCCAGGTCATGTGGCCAGCATGACTAAATCGCTTCTGGCACATGGAACACCATGACGGGTACCAGAGCGCATGGAAATGCCATTTACTCCTGGTTTAGCTGGGGTATGGCTGCTGTTTCAGGCTGACAGGTTCTAGGAGCCACAGGTGAGAGCTGAGTGCAGGGTGGGGACCAAAGGTGGGACAAACTATCCCAGAAGGAGAATGATGTATCCCCTACCAAAGGTACTACCCCTCCCCTAACAGAAGTATTCCAGCACAATTTATGCATCCACGCACAGCCGCAGTGTTGCTACATGCACATCCCCACACCATCCTTAGCCAACGGGTCAATGGTCAGTGATGACAGAAGTCGTGGCTGAACAGAATGTGGAGACCTATGGCTGGGGAAGAACTGTGTAGATAATTTGGAAAAGAAAGTTGTTTCCAGTTTCATCCTGTGATATAATGGAAATATAGTTTAAGCTTATCTTTTCAAAGAACACGCACAGCCTAAAATCAATGAGTGACTTCCACTAATAATTAGTTCACATTTTGTTAATCATTTGCTTATATAAGATTAGTAGGATGGTTTATTGTCAGTCCTCTTGGAGATGGCGGCATCCAGCTGATGACTTCAGATGTCACCAAAGTGCAACAAATTGATAGTTGTTATTGTATTTTTACTGCAAGGAGAGGGAGAGGTACTTGCGGGATTTCCTGCCTCAGCTGCCAAAGCAACTTGCACCTTGAGTCCCAAGGTGCAAGGGCAGGGGTGGGGAGAAAACCATTTGCTGCTTCACCTCAGGCTGCAAGATTAAGTGATCTAGAAATGCTCTCAAATACAGAAAATAAAGAAGAGATCTTGGGTCAATCCTGTTCCCCCACCTATACATCATAAAAACAGCTGTTCTCCCACATCTCTGCATGGACAGTCCTCATATAGTCACACTCCATTCTTCTCAGGCTGCTCTTGCAATGTTACATGCTGAAGTCCTTCCCTTCTTAATGTCAGATGGTAATCCTCCTTTATACGGTGATATCTGCCACCTCCCACTTTCTAACAAAAACCTCTATTGTAAATGATTAAAAATATACTATGCAGAGAGATGAGAGGCAGATGGACTGAAGGAGGCTAAGCTCCAAGTGCTAGGGTCTATACCTTTCATGCACACACACACGCACTTCCTCCCTCCTAAACAGACATGTATGAGAACTGACAAGGGTAGACGTTAAGATAATGCAACATGAAATCACTTTTAACCTTGAGCAAGCAATGTAGTTCTATTTTCAGGGTGGGGGGCGGGGAGAAGTCTCCTTTGTGCTTGGAGTGCTGCTGAACAGGCCTGTGGCAACCACCCATGATTCTAACAGATACAGGAGTCCTTGGTTGCACTGAGCATCTTGAAACCTCTCCAACTTTCTGTCAAGCATGCCATCTTACACAGCTTAGTCCCACAGAAATGAATCCATCAGCAGACACTTTTCTCATGGTGTGATCAACCATTTTTCTTTTTTCTTTGCTTGTCCCTGAATCATCATTTGCGTGAAGACAAATGGAGGTTTTAAAACAACAGGCGCTCCAGAGCCTCTCACTATTTAATATCCTGTTTACAAAGTCTGAACAGAATCTTCCCAAACTTATGGTCAGCCTTTAATTGGCCAGTAATAATAACAAGAACAGAATAATAGGCAGGAATGCCCTTTGAACTGCCCCCGAAAAGCACCTGCCCCAAATGTTCTCCCTTTGTCTTCTAGATTTGAAGAGTTGGCAGAAGCTGGCTTGAGGGCAAGTGATTCCTATTTCCAGGATGTCATCTCAGTGGGGATTGTAGTCTCATGATTTTCCGTGTGAAATTCAAGTAGGGTTACAATGCCTTGTTCTGGATCTGCAAAAACTAATTTGGTCTAGTAGGTCCCATCTGTGATATGGAAATCATAAGGCTTTTTGTGAGGCGTTTTATAATATTGCTCCAACACTCACCAACTACTACTACTACTACTACTACTACTACTACTACTCTGCTGAAAGGTGCAAACATGGAGTCTTCCCATCATCCGGCAATACAGGAAAGCAAAGAATGAAGATGGGAATGGCCTGCAACTTCTGCTGTGATGCAATGTCATGGATTAGAGGGAATGTGTTGCTGGCAACACACTTTTCAGCCTGCCTGCCACTTCTTCCCACTAACTCCACCTCACCAAGGGAAAAGGCTGCAGAAGTGATGCACTTATCTGTGGACCAAGAAATAGGTAAGTCAGACTTGCTGGCTTCTGGAAAAGATGTTTGGCTACCAAGCCGAAATTTATGGCTCCCTGGATAACAATTGTTTTCAAGTGTGCCAGGAAACCCTGAGATTTGCAGTAGCTATCAGGGGTTTACCCATGGGGACAAACTTTTCCAAGGTATACTTTTCCTTCAACATACTGAACACTTCCAGAACTCTTTGTAGGATAAAGTAGCTCTTCAGCATACATGTTGATGTGGAAAGCGGTCCTACAACTACTGACAGTTCTGTGAGTTTTGTTCATGATATAAACAATACTCCACTAAGGTTCTAAACAAATACCCCAAATTTCATTTAAAGTAATAATTATAATCAGCTTGACAGCATAACATGGCATATGTCTGAGACACAGCTGGGTATCTGTATAGTTACCAAACTGATATAGCTCCTGGGGAAAAGTTAAATTTGTTGGGCTATGATGTGTGTAGACAAAAGCCTCACAATAACTCCCAGAGACAGTTATATGATAGTCACAGTGGAGCTACTTAGAATCATAGAGTTGGAAGAGACCACAAGGGCCATCGAGTCCAACCCCCTGCCAAGCAGGAAACTTGAACCCCCTTTTCCCCTGCTGCTCTTGATTTGCTTAACCACCTGCCCATATGAATTTGGAGCCAATGTTTTCTTCAGAGCATGGTAATATGGCAATTAAAACTCATCATGAGCCTCGCAAACCGATAAACTCTTGTGAGAGCTTAAAATAAAGAACCGAGGAAGAAAGGTAAATAAATTCTGTTTTTATCGCCCTAAGGAACATAGGAAGCTGCCTTATACAAAGTCAGACTATAAGTCCATCTAACACATTATTGTCTACACTGATTGGTAGTGGGTTGTGAGGATAAAATAGAGAGGGGGAGATCCATGTACGCCAAGTTGAGGTCCTTGAAGGAAAGTTGGAATATAAATGTAATAACATAAAAATAAAATAAATGAAGGTTTATAAGAAAGGGGAGGAGGGTTCTTCATGAATTCTGATAAACACAAACAAGATGAGGAAATTCTCGCTAGACCAGAGTGGACTGTCCTGGAACAGAGATGCTGGGGCAGTGACCCTAGGGAGAAGGAAGACTGCCCAGTTCAGGAAGTGAACCCCTGGTGGAATGTAACACAAAAAAGCAGGAGACATGCTGTGTATTTGGAGCTACAAAATCAACTCCATCCCCTGATCTTGGACATCAATTCTCAGTCAGAGGAGCAAGTACAGTGCAAGGATGAACTAGATGGGGTCTCTTCCAACTTTACAATTCTATGAAACACATGTAGCCGTGGGTAGATATTTTCAGTGACAAAGCTTGGGGGAGGGGGTAGATTCATCTCAGAAGTGCACCTTTTTATTGTTATGAAAACTCCAGGGAAAAAAGTATTTAACATGCCATGGGACTCATTTGTGAAAAAAATTTCTTCCCTTCATTTTATAACATTTATTAGACAGAAAATTAAAACAAACATTTTACTGGTCAAGTTCCACACTTTCCCAACATTTTATGGTTTTGCCAGAAAACAGCAACCGAAGCCAACTACCTAAACTAACATGACAGTCTTGAAATTTTTCAAAGGAAAACAACCACAACACAACCCTGCCAAAAGTGACATCAATTTTAAAAGGGGGCAGGAGAGGAAATCAGCCTACACAAACCCTATTTACATAATTTCAATCATATCTGTGTTTGTAAATTTATAATGCTACTGTTGCACTAACCTGGTTGGACTGGATCTCAGAGCTGGAAAGCAGGAATTAATGCTTGAGCTACCAAGCATAGCCATAATTTGTGGACCT